GGGGGAGGAGGAGGAAGAGGAGGAGGAGGAGCAAGATGATGGATTTAAGCTGCCATACCAATAATTATAGTAAATGTTCTTTGCCTGACATGCACAAGTTCTGGGTTCCATCTCCAGCACTGGGGGAAGGGAAAGGGGTAAATGTTCTAACTGCCCCAAGTACAAGTCAGAGACTGTCCAGGTGGATGAAAGAGCAAACCAAGATGCAAAAGCACTGGTTAGGTACCTCATAGTTTAACTGATACAACCTAACAAGTATTTGAGGTGGGTATTATTCCATTTCAAATATTTTTAAAAATGAGCCTCATTTATCAGTTCTAATAGTCTTTTGGTATAGTTTAAATTTTTCCATATATAGAACCATATCCTACAAACAGGGATAATTTGACTTCTTCCCTTCCTATGCATATGACTTTTTTTTTTGTCTTACCTAATCACTCTGTTTAAAACTTCTAGTATTATATTGAAAAAGAACAATGGGAGTGAATTCCCTTGTCTTGAATTCAGTTCATGCAGCAACATACAAAAAATTGTGCTTTTCCATATACCAAGAATGAATTTGCTGAGAAAAAAGATCATGAAAGTAATCCCATTCACAATAACTATAAAACAATTCTAAAATTCATACCAAAAGACCCTGAATAGCCAAAGCAATCTTGTGCGAACAGGAAAAAGCTGGAGGCATCACAGCACCTAATTTCAAGATATCTTATAGCGCCACAGTTAACCAAAAGAGCATGGTACTGGTATAAAAAGACACAAGACCAAAGGAATAGAATACAGATTCCAGAAATAAGCCCATATATCTAATCGATTCTCAACAAAGGCACCAAAAACATACATTAGAGAAAGAAAAGCCCCTTCAAATAAATGGTACTGGAAAACAGAATGTATACATACAGAAGATTGAAACTTGACTCCTCTCTCTCAGTCTGGAAAAAAAAATCAATTCAAAATGAATCAAGGACTTAAATTTAGAACCTGAAATTACTAGAAAAAAATATAGGGGCAACACCTAAGACATTGGTAAAGGCAATGATTTTTTTTGTTTTTTTGGATAGGACCTCAAAAGCACAGAAAACAAAAGCAAAAAATTGACAAGTGGGATTATATTGCACTTAAAAGTTTCTACAGAACAAAGAAAATAATAGAATGAAGAGACAACATACAGAATGGGAGAAAATATTTGCCAACTATTCCTCAGTCAAAAAGTTAATACCCAGATTATACAAGGAACTCAAAACACTTAAGGAAAAAAAAAAGTATTAGGGCAATATTAGGGCAAATATCTGAGCAGTTACTTCTCAGAAGAAATACAAATGGCTGAAATGAAAAAAATTCTCAATGTCATTAGTCATTAGAGAAATACAAATCAAAACTACAATGAGATGCCGTCTAACCCCAGAATAGCTACTATCAAAACAAACAAACAAACAAACAAATAAATGCTGGAGTAGATATAGAGAAAAAAATACTAAAGAACTTTTATATACTGGTGGTGGGAATGTAAATTTGTGCAGCCATTATGGGAAATCTATGGAAGTTCCTAAAAAATTTAAAACTGGACCTATCAAATGATCTAGCCAAACCATTTTTGGGTATACATCCAAAGGAAACAAAATCAGCATACCAAAGAGACACCTGAACACCTATCTTTATTGTGGTACTATTATAATAGCTAAAATGTCCATATACATATCCACCTAGATATCAGTCTAGGTATCCATAACAGATGAATGGATAAAGAAAATTTGGTCTATTTACACAATGAAATATTATTCAGCCATAAAGAACAACATCTTGTCATTTGCAGCAAAATGGATGAACTGGAAGTAGAAGACATTGTTAAGTGAAAAAAGGCTGACAGGAAAGACAAATGGTGAGTGTTCTCTCTCCTATGTGGAAGTCAAACTGAATGTAGACTAGTAATTATAGAGCTTGGGAAGGGAAAGTGAATATAGACAGGTTGGATTTGATCATGCATGCTGTATGCATATTATGGAAATATCACATTGARCCCTTTGATATGTAAAATTGATGCATACTAATAACTTTTATAAAATTATAATTAAAAAGTAAAAAATACTTTTTAAAAGATCCTCAGAAAGGTTCAAACAACACAGTAAGGTACTATGAAGTGCTATAGGTCCATAATACTTGCTTCCTTCTCTCTTTAGTTCAACAACAGAGTACGAGCTACATTGAGGAACAGTGCTAGGTGCTGCGTTGCATGGAAACTACAATTGTCCAGGAAGATATCCAACTCCACTAGCTGTGTGACCACTGGCTGCAAGTTATACTTCTTTAATAAATCTTTTCATATTTAAGATGAAAATAATGAGCCTGATAGAGTTATAGTGATGATAGCCTGAGAAAGTCCAGTGGATAGGGTGTGTTAATTGAGAGTAGCTATCTTTGTAACTTTAAGCTATACTCTGTAGATTCTAGGAGAGACACCAATTTGTGCAATTACACATCAAAATCTAAATACTGTTATTTAGTGACATTCATTATTTTTCTGTTTAGCCTGTAGCATCACAGAAACATATCATATAAATAATTATATCATTTTACTTTATAGCATTTTATGAAGCTTTGGTTTCTTCTTTGAGAATGTTACTGATGAAATAAATCACTTTTTTTTTTTTTTTTTAAAGCATGGTGGAGTTACTGGGAATTGAACCCTCGGGTATTTTGCCACTGAGCTATATTCCCAGCACTTTTTACTTTTTATTTTAAGACAAGGTCTCATTAAGTTGCTAAGGCTGGCCTTGAACTTGTATCCTTCTGCTTGGGCCTATTTAGATGAAGGAATTAAAAATCAGTTTGTGCTTGGCAAATCAGTTTTGTTTTAAAGAAATCTTTCAACCCAACAGCTATATTTATTAATAAAACTTTTTTCATGGAGTGAAAATGCCAATCCCACTTCTTGCTTTCCAAATTAAAGAGTTCAGATTACTTGTACTTTTACCTTGGATACCAGTACCAGATACCTAGAATGAGTAACTTCAGGTAATATTAATATCATTATAACAGAAAATTTTTAAAAGTTTACTTAACTACTATTTTACATTTGAAATATGTTAAGTGAAAAATTAAAATGCCATCCTGAAAGTTAAACAAAACACTATTTTATTTTTTAAACATAAGAGTGCAGCATCATACAGCACCTTTAAATATATTTTCTTTGAAGATAGAAAATTTAAAAAAAGATAGTTTAGATCCAACATGTCTGTCAGCCAAATCAGAAGCTAATCAGTCTTCCAATATCATAATAGTGTTTTTTCCTAAACAATAAGTGAAAGAGACAAAATTTCAAAGATATTTTATTCAAAATTCTCCAACTAGGAGAAAAGGTAACAATGTTTACACATGCTTTAATAACTTATTTCACTGTACATCTTACGTTCTATACAACAATACAATAAACCAACAAAAGAAAATAAGTCAGCACTTAAATAGGGATCTACCATATAAAAGCATTGAGCACATACAGGACACTAAAAGATGGTATCTACAAAATTTTTCTTGACTGAGCTACATGTAGTATATCCATCTTGTTCAGTGTTTAAGATGTCTACCTCTTTCTGACTCATTATGCAAAAGCTATTATGACCTTTCAGAATAGAACATATCTTTTTCATTAAATTTTGTAGATGGGAGCAGAAGGGCTCTATCAATTTTATATCTTTCATCTACTTATATTTTCCCTTTCATGTCACTTCCAGTTTTAAATAAAAATATCTGTGTTTGATATGCTCCTATGTCAATACTTCTCTAGCAGAGAATTATGTTAATTATTTTTTAGCCAGTAAAATGGTCCAAACACATTAAGGAAAGTAAAGAAACAGACCACTTAGTTCTGACAAAAATAGCACCTAAAAAAATATCACTTCYGTCAAGTTTCTCCTGCTGCTCTTATGTGATGCAGGCAGCAAGGCAATAACTTCCAATACGTGGGCAGAAATAAAAGGTGGAAGAAGACCAAAAACTGTTTTCTGTTCTCAAAAGATCTTATTAGTTAGTATATTCTCTAATGCATTTTATAAACTTGGATCACCATGACTGCCAAACCAGGTAAATGATAGACTCTGTATGAGAAAAATAAGTGGAAAGGACTGACCAGTGGAATCCGAACTTCTTCCAAGTAATTATACTTTCCATGGGGGGGGGGGGAGGCGGGGAAGGCACAGGAGGTGCACATTTCTATTTGGCTTGAAAATAATAAAAATTAATCTGAAAAGTTGGCAACAACTACTAAAACAATTCAATTTCCTATATTTTCCTGGACAGAGCTTAACCATATTGGATGTTGATAACAGTGATAAACAAAAACCACACTGAGTTTACCATAATCAGGGACTGCACATAACCGCCTGACATTTTTATATAGACTGAATTCTAAAGACTAAATCTACAAAGTAGGTTCTAATGATTAAATTTCAATAATTATTGAATTATTGATCAATCTCTTCTTCCTATTCAAGCTAACTTCTTTTCTGTGGAACTGAAAATTTTAAATGCTCTAAATTTGCAGATGATTGCAAAAGTCTTACAGTAATCCTACACAACAAGAAACACCAAAAAATGTCAAGTCAATTACTATGATATTTGCAGAAGCTAACTCAGATTTCACTTTGATACGTGTAAACCATGAATCATAAATTTAAAAAAAAAACCAGTAGTTGTGGTCAAATTTATATACTATTAATATATCTTTTAAAGACAGCAATAGTATTTGTTATAATTGTAAACAGAAGTCCCCAAGAGAGCACATCTAGAAAGAGAGATATTCAATGTTAACGATGCACCTGACATCCCCTACAGACCTCTTGTGGCAACTGTAGTGTAACTAACTTTAACTGCAATGCTGAGTAGGACTCTAGGGGCATAATTTGGGGGAATGATGCTTCCCACACCATGGAACTATTTCAATAGCAATAGTGACTGTGATGAAATATACTTAATAAATTCCACGTTTAAAAAGTCATTAGGACATCTCGTTCTTGTACACTTGTGTAGAAAGGTCTTCCAAAGATAAAAGAATGTAGGCCTGGTTTGATTTTCTCTGCTAGAGCCATTATTATGTTAAGATCGCCCTCTGCTGTTAAATCAAGGTCTATCTTCAGATTCCGAAGAGATTTAAAGGGCTTTTTCCCCTTCTGCCTACAAATAAAAGAAAGAAAGAAAGAAAGACCCAAACATTATAATACAGCAAATATCAAAAGGGAACAAAACAAAAACATACAAAGGCTTTTCTTCTGTAGAGGACTGTTACTCACGTATCATCTTCTATGTATTTTATTAGTGTCAAGGCTTTTCTGTGAAGGACAAGCAGAAACTGTGCAAGGAAAGTACTCCTGAGAGATAAACCAGGTTTCAAATGAAAGACCTGCAGGAAAATGAAACATTTTAACACATAGATTTCCTACCATTCTATGTGTACAGCATGTTTCTCTGACAGTGTTGGGTGTTACCTGGCATTTTCACTAATGCCCTCTAATATACAGGAGTGTGGTAGCAGCACTAGACTGAAAGCAATCTGAGTTTTTATAATTTCCTATTTATTTTGGTGCACTCAAATTCTGCATTCTATATCAAAATATATCCATGATCATTTATTTTATTATGAAAAAATCATTATGTAAGTTATTTGATGCTGTATTATCTAACTTTTTCTAATCAAATCTTAAAATTGAAGCTCTCAGAAGTTAGGCCATGCTCATGGACTATGGTTTTGAAATACATATCTATATTCTAGCATGGGTAGGAGAAATGTGTGCTTATGTAGGGGGAGAGTAGAAGGGTTTTACTTCGGCATGAGAAACATGGAAATTGCATGACTACAAATTATCCTTGAACTTTGCAATATATCCTTGAACTTTGCAATATATCACAAACTACACAGACCTGGATCCAAATTTTCCAGTTAACATAAGGATCTCATTATTTCAAAGTTACACGTATGACAGTCTCCTGGCTCAATCCCCAGAACAACATTACAACAATGTTTTGTTATATAAGAAATAAGTCCCAGGTATCTATCATTTTCTTCAAATGTGTAATTAAGTAAATATTTTTAAAAAATGAGACAATAAAGATGTTATAATCTAAACAGAAGTATACTAAGTTTTAAGAACATTTTTGGCTCAATAAAAGCAAATAAACAACTTACCTCCCCTCAAAAAACAAAACCCCTGAGTGAGGCTAGCATTTGAAATTAAAATATTTATTTTCAGTGGGAATGCTGGATCTTTAATTGTTAATGAGGCTAGTCTCTACTAATAATTCATAAGAAAAATGATTTAGGAGCTTTAGAAAGATCATAGAATAGGTACTACAAAAAAGAGAACTTAATTACATGATGTTTCAAATATATAGCACAAGCACTATATGATATGTTTGAAAAGAAAACATTTAATCATTCTGACAATGGATGGTTCCATGTTTACCTGATCCAGGAAGGCTTTGACTAGAGTGTCTCTGTGTAAGACATCCTGGAAAATATTCCTACAAAGAAAAGAAAAGGTCCAAATGTTGAAATGGCTGTTTAAGACACTTTCTACAACCGCTCACTCCACAGTCAATAAGTTAAATTCATATAAATGGTATATCATGCATAAACATATTTATTAGATTATAGATGTACATTTTTGGAGATAGAAAATATATTTCCAGAGGCTGGCTTTGGGTATTTAATGGTACAATGTGTGTTTAGCATGCATGGGTCCCTGAGTTCAATTCTTAGCACCAAAAATGAATAGATAAAAATAAATAAATAAAATTTAAAAATACACAGATCCAAACTCAAGGATATTATTGGTGTTTATCAGGTTAACATATAATTATTTTTTCTAAATAATATTCCAACACTATGGAACTACTTCAGCAGCAATCATGATTATGATGAAATATACACAATACACCAGGAAGGGTATGTGTACATCTACTAATCTATTTCAGAACTCTCATCTTACACATACAACAAAAGTCTTGGGGCTGGGGATGTGGCTCAAGCGGTAGCGTGTTTGCCTGGCATGTGCGGGGCTCTGGGTTCGATCCTCAGCACCACATAAAAATAAAATAAAGATGTTGTGTCCCCTGAAAACTAAAAAATAAATATTAAAAAGTTCTCTTTTTTTTTTTTAAAAAAAGTCTTAGACAATTAATAAATATAATTGCTAATTCTGACAATCTCACAAAAAAATAAAACCAGCAGCAAAAATAACACTAATGTTATCACCAAAAACTAAAACAAATCAGTGACATTTGAGTGGGATCAAGGAATAAACCCAGTTGATAATGGGCAATATCACAACTTCTGGGTTAGCATTAAGAGGACACCATCTGCAAACAACATGAACTAGAAACCTAAGAAAGTGTCATCTACCTTGGCAATGACCAAAGAGAGAGAAGTCAAGACATAATACCCACTTGAAATGATTTGTGTCTAACACAGCACCTAGGACATACCAGATGCTAAAACAAGAAAGACTGTTTTCTTCCCAGGCCTCACAGCCTTTCATCTTTTCTCTTCCATCTTCCTTAGGTTTCATTCAGATCAGAGAGGTAACATAACATTCAATAAACGAAGTAATTTTTTAAATGAAAGAGAGACTRAAAATAGTAGATAGAGATCATCATATTACTGATAGGAGGGATACAGAAAAGAATAGGTGGTGCAAACTAAGTAAGAGAGTAACTCAAGTTTCTTAATTTAGGAGATGAGTGTAACTAATTACAGCAGGAACTGAGAAAGGAGAAGTCAACATTCCAAGATTATTGGCTGGGCATTAACAACACCACTTTTCAAGCTTTGAGGAGAGATTGTGACTATAAGGCCCAGTGTTCTGGTTTATTTCATTGAATGAATATCTCGATCATATCTGAATTGTATGAAGCAAAGTATCTAAAAATATTTTCAGTGACTGGATTTTAATATATAGACAGTGACTAAAATTATTTTTATAAGTTAAGTTGAGGTAGAATGCTTGTCTAGTATGTATAGGTCACTGGGTTGGACCCCAGCAGAGCAGGAAAAAAAAAAAAAAACAGCTCCCATACATAGAAAAAGTAGTATTGTTTAAAACACAAAAAATGGTAAAATGAGTCTACCACAAATTAAAGTTTACACATATTCTTGTAATCGAAACTATTTTTCAAACTTTTATGTTCAAAACATTTAGGGTTGTAAATAAAATTTTAAATTTATGACATTATTATGCCATGTTCAGCAAAACAAGAATAGCTGGCTTAAACATATTTACAAAACAAAACAAAAACACTAAATGGTTGCAAACCCATTCTTTTTTTTTTTTTTAATACAGCAACAACAGAACTATTTTCTTTCTTTATTTATTTTTTTTGAGAGAGAGAGAGAGAGAATTTTTTTTTAATATTTATTTTTTAGTTTTCGGCGGACACAACATCTTTGTTTGTATGTGGTGCTGAGGATCGAACCCGGGCCGCACGCATGCCAGGCAAGCATGCTACCACTTGAGCCACATCCCCAGCCCGCAAACCCATTCTAAAGTTTACTAAATTCTCTTAATGGAGCTCCTAAGCAGGCAATCAATCAAAAACAAAAAAATTCTAAGCCTTTTAGAAAGTGCAGATTAATTTTGATAAATCTATATTCATACCCAAACTACTAATATGTGAAAACTCAGTGACATGGAATTCCAATTTGGCCAATGCTTTTTTTCTGAAGYAATTCCTCTAAAACTTTCTAAATAGCCAATGAGAACACTGGAGACCTGAGAAAGATGGACCCAAATTAAGTCATCTTTATGCATATAGAGACCTATGTTGCTGGGGATTCCTTGGACATAATGTTCTTATTCTGTGCTTTTGGTCAACATTTTACTATGGCTACTATGCTACATGAGTCTGTTGCCTCAGTTCAAAATTTTCCTTAAAAGCAAAGCATAGAGCTACTCAATCCAATTTTATTGCTGCTTTATATACTTCAACCTGGGTTATTATAGTTATGGTGTTTTGAGTATATTCTATGTGCCAGCACTGTGCCAAGCACTTTTAATTGATTCAAAAAACCCTAGTATACTACAATTCTTTTTCTGACTTCAGAACACCATTTAAGTATTTTCTTGAAGTTTTATAACTATGAATTATCATCATCATGTTTTTTTCCTTAAATGATCCACAATCAATATTTAACTGTCATTATTATTCTTTTTAGTGCACTGATCACACTTTGTGGTAAGAAATGACTAAGGCAAATATAAAAATAACATAAAATATATTACATGCAATATAAAACACAAAACATAAGAACACTATATTAATGTATTTCAACAGTTTAATTTTTTTTCACAATATCTTTATTTTGTTTATTTATCTTTTTATGTGGTGCTGAGGATCGAACCTAGAGTCTCAGACGTGCAAGGCGAGCACTCTACCACTGAGCCACAACCCCAGAATTATTTAATATTTATGTACAAGAAAAAAAGACTTGGAATTACTTTATATAATAATACTGTTCAGACTATTATACACTAAATTATAAGTAGTGAAGGGAGGCTATCTGATGCACTACTATTAACCATACTATTTCCTACAGGCTATGAGCTCAATACCTATTTGTTAAAAAAGTATTTAAATGTTTCTTTTAAGAGCTAATTTTAACTTATTTTAGGGGAAACACAATAATATTTTCAAAATGGATAGCTTTTGTTTTTTTTTWAAAAAAACAGTTGATTAAATATTTTTTAAGCATCATTATGCTAGTGATATTTCTTTCCTTTTAAATATAATGTGTTTGTTTTTACTCATAAAAGATTCATATTGTTTGCCAAAATCAAAAGGCAGAGCATTACATACAAATCAGGAGTGAAGCTCTCATCTGTGTAGATGATGGTGTCCTGTGCCATGTCTTCTTCTGAAGTGGCTCTCCAAAATGCTGTCAGCTCCGATCTCATGTATCTACGCTGATTATAAATGTGTTCATGACAGGGTGGCATCTGCTTCACAGTATTGACATCCACATCGATATGTGTRGTGGGATATGGTGCATACATGACTTGACGGAAGGGCAGTACAAAGCTTCCAGTTGAATCCTGTCAGAATGAAAAGAGAACTTACTGTCTTACATGCCAAGTGATATGAAGTTTTTTTTTTTCTAATTAAAACAATGGCTTTGATTTTATTCTAGAATTTTATCATACCTTACAGACAGAAGTGTTCATTACAACATCAGTTTTAAAGCAAAAACATGAGAAACACTTTAAGCATCCAAAAAGAAGTGATTAAATAAATTTTATTTTATTTATTTATTTTGTTTTTAAAGAGAGAGTGAGAGAGGGAGACAGAGAGAGAGAATTTTTTTAAATATTTATTTTTTAKTTCTCGGCGGACACAACATCTTTGTTGGTATGTGGTGCTGAGGATCGAACCCGGGCCGCACACATGCCAGGCGAGCGCGCTTCCGCTTGAGCCATATTCCCAGCCCCATGATAAAATAAATTTTAAATCAATTTATTATCTAATTGATAAAAATAAAATTACTGAAAAGTTCATGTTGAAATTGGAAGAGGTTTACAAAATATTGTGAAAAAGCAGGTTAGAACATGCAGAGTATAATTCAATGGGGAGAGGATGAAGAAACTACATAATTTACAAAGCTGAATTAATATTTCCAGAGATTTTATTGTTTCAATATATTTTTCATTTTTAATTGACACATAGTAATTATACATATTTGTGGGGTATAGTATGACATACATACAGAAGAAAAAAATACTAGAAAGATATGTGCCAAATAATAACTGTGGTTATATCCAGGCATAGTGGTGCATGTCTATAATCCCAGTGACTCAGGAGGCTGAGGCAGGAGGACTATGAGTTCAAAGCCAGTCGGAGCAACTAAGTGAGACCCTGTCCCAGGATAAAAATAAAAAGGGCTGATGATGTTGTTCAGTGGTTAAGTACATCTAGGTTCAATTCCTAGCATCAAAAAAAAAAAAAAAAAAAAAAAAAAAAAAAGGTTCCTTATTGATTGTATCTCATACCTATTGTGTATGAGATACTATGTTATGAAGAGAACATAGAAGCTATTTCACTCTAATAATGCTGCAGTAATCATTTTTATATTATGTCAAGGTATTTTCTGGAAGGTTATATAATTTAGATTTGCATGGGGAACTCCTGAAATAGTTTTTCATTAAATCAGTTTCAAGTTTTCCATTAAGCATCTGGTACTGATCTCTTTCAGGATAAAATTATATAATAAAATGAGAGGCTGCTGAAGAAACCTTTTATGTTATGCCTTTAGWAGAAAGAAGTACAAATTTTCAAATTTGTAAAACTTAAATTAGAAACATGATTCTTTATTTTAATACTATTCTTCTGAGTGCAGTACAGGCATTTTACTGTGCTGAATTAATAATTTATAAAGCTGAATTAATATTTCCAAAGACTATTGTTTCAATACATTTTTTATCTTTAATTGATATATAGTAATTATGTATGTTTATGGGGTATAGTATGACATTTCAACACATGTGTTCAATGTGTAATGATCTGATCAGGGTAGTATATCAATCACCTCAGATATTTATCATTTCCTTTTGTTGAGGATGTTCAAAATTCTCTCTACTAGCTATTCTGAAATATACAATTGATTGCTGTATTAATTCATAATAACGTGCTACAGGACACTAGAAGTTATTCCTCCTATCCAACTGCATCATTATACTCATTAAGCATCTTCTCTCCATCCCTTCTCCCCCACACCCTTTTGAAGTTCTGGTAACCATTACTCTATGCTTCTATGAGATCAACTTTTTAGCTTTTACATGTATGTTAGAATATAGATTATTCATCTTTCTATGCCTAACTTATTTCACTTAACATAATGTCTTCCAGTTTCATCAATGTTGCAGCAAACAACAGAATTTCATTTTTAATGACTGAATAATTTTATTTATCCATCTATTAATGAACATCTAGGGTGATCTCATACCCTGGCTGTTGTGAATAGTACTGTAATAAACACACCAGTGAAGACGTTTCTTTGACATATGGATTTCATTTTTATTGAGTACATACTCAGTAGTAGGATTGTTAGATCAAATGGCAGTTCTATTTTTAGATTTCTGCGGAATCTTCATATTGTTTTCCACAATGGAGTGCTAATCTATGTTCCCACCACAAGAGAGCTCTCCTTTTTTTTTTATCTTTGAAAGAATGTTATTTTTTTGAACATATCTACTCTAACTGGGGCTAAGATGGTATCTCATTGTCATTTTAATTTGCATTTCCCTAGTGATAATATTGAACATTATTTCATTTGTTTATTGGCTATTTGCATACATTTGACAAATGTCGATTCAGATAATTTTTAAATCTGATTACTTTTTAAAAATTTGCTGTTGAGTTGTTTGAGTTCTTTATACATGCTGGATATTAATCCCTCATCTAATGAATAGTTTGCAAATATTTTCTCTTTTTCCACAGATTGTCTCTTCCCTCTGTTGACTGAATGTTTCCTTTATGGGGCCAAAGCTTTCTAATTTGAGACTATCACATTATTATTTTGAATTGATTTTGTACAGGTTAGGAGATAGTGGTATAGTTTCACTCTTCTGTATACAGATATCCAGTTTCCTAGTACTATTCATTAAAGAGACTTTCCTTTCTCCAATGTGTACACTTGGTCCCTTTGGCAAAGATCAATTGGCTGTAAATAATGTGAATTTGTTTCGGGATTCTCTATTCTGTTTCACTGATGTATGTTCATGTTTTTATGTCAGTACCATGCTGTCTTGCTTACTATTACTTTATAGTATGTTCTGAAGTCAGGTATTAGGCCATCAAATTTGTTCTTTTTCCTTATGATTGATTTGGCTATTTAAGGTCTTTTGTGGTTCCATACAAATTCTAGGAGTGTTTTCTATGAAGGATATCATTGGTATTACAAGAAGAAATGCATTGATTCTGTAGATTGCTTTGTGTGGTAAGAACATTTTTAGAATATTAATTCTAGTCCATGAACACTGGATGTCTTTCCATTTTTTGGCATCATCTTCAACTTCTTTAATCTGTTTTATAATTTTCATTGTAGAGATCACTTCTTTGTTTATATTACTCCTAGATATATGTTTTTGTAGTTATTGTGAGTAGGTTTTTTTCTTGATTTCTTTCTCGAAATTTTGTTATTATTATGTCAATCAGTACCATTTGTATGTTGACTTTTTTATCTGTAAATTTACTGAAATTGTTTATCAGTTCTAACAGTTTTTTTTGGTGAAGCCTTTAGGTTTTTTGATATATAAAATCAAGTCATCTACAAACAGGGGTAATTTTATCTCTTCCTTTCTTATTTGGGTGTCTTATGTCTTTCTCTTGCCTTCTTGCTCTAGCTAAGACTTCCAATATCACACTGGACAGGAGAGGTAAAAGAGGACATCCTTATCTTGTTTCTAATCTCAGATGAAATTATTTCAACTTCTCTCTAATCAGTATGAAATTCATTGTAAGTTTGCCATATTCAGCCTTTCTGGCATTGAGGTGTGTTCCTTCTGTACCTAATTTTTTAAGGGTATGTGCAACATTTTAAAATATTTTAATACTTATTTTCTTTCATTTTGCTATAACTACATCCTTAAGAAAGCATTTACTATGAAAGAATCACACAACCATAAGGAAAGTATTTCTTCATTTCTTTGACTATAACTGAGACATCAATAGTAAATTCAATAAAGTGCATAATTGCTTTTCCCTTAATTATTGAAAATAATTATCAATTACCGTTATATGTTTTAGTCTTTGAAAAATAAACTCAATTAAATGAATATAAACTTTTTCTAATATGTATTAGCAATACATACTTTTTCAAATGTGTATATTAATATATATATATATGATTTACTCAAGTCTTACACACTTTTAAAGATCTTTAAATTTTTTCAATAAATTTTCTATGTAAATACAAAATGGTAACACAAAAATTCAAATTGGTTCAGTAAAAAGAAATATTTAGAGGTGCAACCTAATTCAAGCACATATTTTAAAAAAAATCCTGAGGCTATACACTTATCTACACAGGAAACCACCTGGCAAAGAAAAGATATTTCATGGTGTTACACTGACGATACTAAATATATATTCATAAGATAATATAGTCTATGCTCAGAACTATGTAAAGGAAGTCAGTTCTTGGGCATTAAACAAAATACTTCAAGTATTTTTACAAAGAGTCTCAAAAATTATTATTATTATTTTTTTAAGTCAATAAATTTTTATTTAAGGAATTTCCATTGTGATTCCTTTGTTGTCCATTCCAAGAACACCCTTTTTAGAAGATCTGATGCTTATCTGTTTGTTTCAAGAGCCCAGATGATTTCACAATTCTCCACCTAAGTTATTCAGGATTTAATTTCTTCAAGTAATTTGACTTTAGGATCCAAATAGGAGAAAACAAACAGCCAGAAGCAATATCAACAAAGCCTTATACTTTGGGATATAGATGGATCTGCTTGGTTCTCAAGTGTTGACACTTCTCTAATATAAAAATCACCAAGTTCAAATTATATTCACTCCTATTATCACACTCAGTACTGCWAATGTGGAATATGCCAATATCTAAGATAAAAAGAAAAATTAGGTCTTTCATACTTTTTMATTGTCTTGTAGTTACTTCCCACAGGCCTAACAAACAGTCCTATGAGGAAAGCAAAACCACAGAATTACTCTATGAGGCGTTTCCAACGACGAGTGGCTACAAGAGAAGCCCCATCGGGATAGACCTCAACCTCTCAAACATTATTTTTAAAAAATGGTTTCACTTGTGATAAATGGAAAGTATACCTTTAGCAGGCCTTGCACAAAGAGTCCTGACTCATATTTAAATGATGATTCTGCTTCACATAATCTGGAGCATTTTCTCTCTGCTGGAGTCAGAAAAAGGCATAATGTTCTCACTATCTATAAAAGAAAAGATTATAGCATTAAAATATGAAGTAAAAAGACCACTGATTTGCTTATGAAAAATTTTTTAAATTAAAAATTTTAATTGTTTTGTCAATTAACATAAAAATATAAATCCTGAGTAATAAGTATTCCTTAGTCACCTGGAACAGTCCATAGGATATAACACTTATTGCTTACAAAAGGTGATTTTTATGGCCAAATGAGTTCAAGATTTGCTTAGTAAATTAACTGTATGGTGTCTCAAAACCTGTAACTTTTCTTTTCTTTTTTTGTACCAGGATTGAACCCAAAGGCACTTAACCACTGAGCAACATCCCTAGCCCATTTAAAAAAATCTTTTTTTTTCTTTAAATTTTGAGACAGGGTCTTGATAAGTTGCTTAGGGCCTCACTAAGTTGCTTAGGCTGGTTTTGAATTTGTGATCCTCCTGCCTCAGCCTCCCCAACTGCTGGAATTACAAGTGTGCACCACCACATCTGGTAAAATCTGTAATATCTGAATACATATTGTGACTCTCCAGGTGAAAAATATAATATGTACCTTTTCTCATACTTATTTGACATATTTGTATTAGGTTATTAATTTTAGTGGGAATTTATGACCTAATACAGTAACTGGTTATATCTCCACCCAGCAACAATTGTTTTTCAAGCAAGTAAATAACTTTCAAGAATAAAACTAAGTGCATTTAAATTACCCAAGTTATAACTTATGTTGTAACAGTTCTACATGTAAATCCCATTATAATGAATATCAAGGAGTATCCAAATTCTTAAACCAAAAGAAAATTAATTCTATTAAATTTGACTTAATATAAACATGCTATTGGTGGGGGTTCAGAAAATACTGATTCTAATAGCATCTGACCTAGGGTACAACTAGAAAAAATAAAAATGAGCCATATAACTGTTGGAATTCAGACTAGAGTGATAATGTTAAAGCACAGTTTTTTAATTACAGAAGTGGAAACTTTTTTGTCAAATTAAAAAGACAAAAGGCAAGCTATYCAATCTTAAGAGGATAAAGGATGAGAAAAAAAATTTTTAAAATATTTTTTTAGTTATACATGGGCACAATATCTTTATTTTGTTTATTTCTTTTTATGTGGTGCTGAGGATCGAACCCAGGGTCTCACACATAAGAGGCGAGTGCTCTACCGCTGAGCCACAACCCAGGCCGGAGAAAAATTTTTAATAAACAGAGCCTTCCTCCTTTCATAATGCAGACTGAGAAGCACTTCTAAAGAACTCTAAGGCTTTGTGGGGGTGGGTCACAAATGGGAAGCCACATTTTTGGGGCAACACAAATAAGATTAATAGTCTCTAGATGAAATATAATGAGAGAAGAATATTAATCTCTCATAAATGGTTGTATAAGAGATATAATTTTGGCAAATTAAGGCTCATGTGAATACATGGGATGACAAATTAAACAAAAATAATGAATAGCTTTATAAAACAAATAATCACCTCCAACATATCTCTTGTTTAAAATGTTGTTAAAAGAAATTAGATTTGCTTAAATTGATAGACATATGTACTTATCTCTGGATTCTTTCTAATTTCTAACTAATGGTCAGTGAAGAAAAGTACAAAATATCTTAATTTACCGACTAATGCTTGGAAATATAACTAATCGTTCACTAATTATTTACTCAAAGCACTGAAGGAAGTAGTCAAAACATTACTGAATAAAGTACAGCCTCCACTTACCATCTAGAAATATTAGCTCCCTAAAAAGGATAGACATGGGGTAAAAATCAAGGCAATGAAATCAAGATGATCAAATGCAGTTCTTCAGAACTAGTATTATAGGCCAGGCTATATGGGCAATGGCCAAACAGACTCCATTTTACCCTAAGATTCCATGTCATGTAAGAAATCCTTCTCTCCTGGGAACACCCTGCCTCTGTACCCATCAACAGTTGCTTGGCATAGCATGTGTGACAACACAAAATGGCAATTCTTATATAATGTAAAATTGTTCTCTTTGTTTCCCATTTTTCTTGAACAAAGTACCCTGTCAAAGAATGATTGCCTAGACGTTAGTTACCATTCTTTAACTTGTATTCAACTGGGTCATTTTGACACACTTTCCCTTCTGTTTATGATTTTAGATCTCATGACATTTGTTTATGGTTTTGAATCATAGCAACAGCCACTTATGATTAATGTAGTTCTGGAATATAAAGGTAGACTCACAGCCTGGGATGGAATCGAAGGGTGTAGACTTGTAGCCTGTCCCTTGGCCTGCCAGCTGGTGAATTCAGACTGCCTGCTGGTGAATAAATGTTCCACCTCTTGCTTTAAGATCAACTTAGTGATTTATTGCAATCTTGCCATAACACTAGTACCAAAAGTACATAGCTATCTTTATATTTATTAAAGATAAAATTGGGAAATAGAAGGCTTTTAAAAGCTATCTGATTTTAAAATATTCTCAAAACCCTTTATACACAACTGAGATTGGTGTTTATGAGTTATCAAAATGAAACTGATAACTGAATTCCTATTCAAACAGTTCATTTCAAATTCATTCTGCCATAGGGTATCACAATAATTCGCTAACATTTTATTTTATCCTTATACTATTAGACCATTTGAATTATAACTTAACATGTAAATGACAATCCATGACATGTTAGTAGTATTAAAATTCAGATCATAGTCTATGTTATAAAATGAATTACCTTATTTACTTTCTCTGCACTGCTGCCTACTACAACAGAGCAGCCACAGGTTTGCAAGTGTGAGCTGATGGCACTGTAGATCAATAAATAAAACAGATTTAAAACCCTGGCTATGAAACAATTTCATAAATTTAAAAAAATAGTAAATAAGCTTCAAATAACTCAGAGTAGTTTTACATGATAAACACCAACACCATAAGTATAATACTATCTTTTATTTGTATGAAACTTCACATTATCTAGGGGCCTTTCACAGAGATTGTCTCGTTTGAATATTAAGATGACCCAGTTAGTAAAATATTATTTTATAGCTTAAGAAACTGATATGTAGAGGGGTTAAAGCCAAATGAGATTAAAAATAGTATATGAATGGCTGACTTAATAGATTTAATACTAAAGGGCTTATGATTCAAGCTATTAAGATTTTTTTAGGTTAAACATGCCTGATACTCCATCATGAGCCTAGAGGAAAAGAATGTAAACATAAAAGTTAATACTTTATTTTTTCACTTCTCATTTTTAAAAACAAAGTTCACGATTATCTGGAAATGTAAAGAAATATGAGATAATACATGCAAGGCACTTGGTATTAGGAACTAGCACATAGGCGCTCAAAAAATAGTGGTCATTACTATTATTTTCCTTAGAAGAAATATAAATAGAAAATGTGAGCTATTGGTTCATAAGTGATTTTATGTGCCAGGTAGTGTTGTAAGTGCTTTATATGATTTATCTGATTCAATGCTCACAATAACCCTAGAAAGTAAGTACTATTATTCTTCCCATTTTACAGATGAGGAAAAGGAGGCACAGACACCTTAGGTGGCTTATCCAAGGTCACACAACAGTAACCCAGGCAGTCTGGCTTGAGAGTCACACTCTTAAGTACYAAACTTCATAGTTAGATAAAAAAGATCAGCACAAATAATTTTAACGAATAATTTCCATTTCGAGGCCTAAATTACTTGAGGCTATCTATAATACAACTTAATTTAAGAATTCTTAATTTTAACATCAATGGGAAGTAAAACAAGAAACCAGAACGAAAGGACCAAGCTCTCTTGTCTGGGTACTATGGAAACTCAGCATCTTAAAACACTAAAAGGAGTAACAGCAGATATATCACAATGAGTGAAAAAGTAACACAAGTGTTAGTTCAAATATGCAATGTTATCCTTAAATTGTCTGGGGAAGTAGGTATCATTATTTTCTTCCTTCCAAATCTTGTTATGGGTGAGCATATAAGATTTGTATCTGTTTCATTCAGCATTTAGGAAATGAAACAAAATTCTTACTTGAGAAGAAAGCCTTCATGACAACTGTCACCAATATCATCATCATTGAGTACCGTATCAGCTATCTAAAATGCACCCAAAAAATGAACAAACAAAAAAATTAGTCTGGGTAAAACAGGATTGAGAGAATGCTTTTATACCTAAGTTTTAAAGTCTAGGTTCAATATAACACATTGTTCTCATTTTGGAGCATCAAGAAAACCCATAAAATAATCTCTTTGAACTATCACAACCTTTTAAAGAACAAATGTGAAAAGTGGTCAGTCAGGTTAAGCAACATTTTTTACAAGACAACTTCCTCTTCTGAGCTGTCAGAATCAAGGGACCAACCTCAATGACAAAGTCAGAAAGCAGTAAGAATATTTTCCAAAGATCTCTCTCTATACATGCATAATGTGTGATTTAAAATGTTCTCAACAAATGATTAAGGAAACTAAATTAGTGAATGTAAGTAAACTTCCATTAATAGTCATTAATTTGCACATTGCTTTGTTGCAAAAAATACTGCATTAAATACTTTAATGTTTCTATAAGTTCTGGAATTTTCCCACTTTAAGGAAACATAAAGGTGGTAAAATAACTAAATTTAATTTTGCCATGACTATCAGTAATAAAAAAACTGATCATAAAATTCAGGATTCTATGTGTGCTTATTTGTGGCTAATACTTCATCTGAATAGTATAATGATAAAATGCTTACCAGCAAAATTAGAATGTTATTAATATATATAATAGTAGAATAATTCAGGGGAACTGATAAAGGTTACCCCCATAAGAACTTACATCTATTTCTTCAGGAACACTGTGAGATTTCATAGATGAAAGCAGTTCCATTACAGGAATGACTTCTCCAGTAAGCATTGGAATAATACTTTGACCCTGCACAATAAAGTAAAATGAAGAGAAGACATAATAGAGGACAAGATGGGCAATAAAAACTTAAAATGAACTTAAAGAATTTTCATGCTATTTAAGCTCATTTTCATTCTTTTAGGAATAATTTTTCTTTAGTAAGCATGGACTCTTTGGTTTATCATTTACTATTATATGCAACAAATAAACAACTGTGCCAAATTTAGAAAGAATCTCCTTTGATATCTAATTGAGTTATAAAAACTTTATTAATTAAAGGCAATCAAGTTATGAAAGTCAAGCTTAAAAAGACTTTGAAATCCTTACCAAATAACTCATTAGTAAAACTTCAATAAATGGCCATCCTCCACACTGGAAATAGGGTATAATCTATCCAAAGGCAAATCAAATCATCACAAATATTTTAAAAGTAWCTTAAATAAGGGTGATTCCTCATTTACTTACTACCACACCACCATTCAGTTTTGCAACCAATGTAAATATGTGAAATTTTAGAGATGCAGACAAAATTGTCAAATCTCTATCTTTCCTTACATTTCATGAAATAATTTTATTCAAATTCTTCTCTTTTATCTTCAAATTAGATCTCTGTTATCCCTATATCCATTTTTTTTAGTACCTTAACTCAGCTTTTCAAAGTCCCTTATCATTTAAATTGCTTAAGATTTAAATGTGCTGCTACCTTTGGAAATTTTATCCTAAGTCATAAACCTCTTTGCATAACAGGCATTTTATTATTTTAAAAAATGTATTTTATAGTAACTTCCAAAATTAACCACACTCATTGCTTTTGATTTTTAAAATAACTGTTGAAATGCTTGTTTACAATTATAATTAATACAACAAATCTTATAAGAACAATGACTCAATCTGTGTTGAACTTCCATCTTTGGTAAGTGATTTACGAGATGACAGCTATGAACATCCAAAATCAGCACTCACTAAAATTGTTTCATACTATTGTGTCATTTCCAAGCAGAATTTATTTTTCAATATAAGGCTGTTGAAAGCACATAATGTGAGACATGCAAGACTCAATTATAAGACAACTCCCCCTTTTCAGAAATAACAATTTTAGGAAAACATTTCCCTTTAGGTTTAGGCTCAGATAATATTTTGGACAAGGAATCTCAGGCATTTATCTGACTCTAAGTAAATGAATAGTCTAATGATCAATAGCAACAACAAAAATCCTAYAAGACTGAATACAGAAGAGGATCTTAAAAAAATATATACATGTATGTATGTATATGTGTTTGTATGTGTGTGTGTATGGCCCCACATACATAAAAGAAACCCCTGGGGATTTCTTTTCCTCCTTGTTCTTCTCTAACTTGAACTTCTGAGTTTCCTCTCTAAAGTCTCCAATTTGTCCCAAATATCCTTTCCTACTGACACAGAAGGATAAGATAGCAATTTTAAGAAAAGCCCTTAAAAGAGGCAGAAATTCATTAATCATGGCAGAAACTCATTAATCAAGGTTTCTGGTTTTAAAAAAAACAGTTTTACTAAAAACAGAATTTTATTTGGTCCTAAATTTCCTTATCTTGAGATAATTCTATTTAATTACTCCATAAGTATCAGGTTAGAGGTTGGTGAACCCACTAAAAGCAGAATTTCATTTGGTCCTCAATTTCCTTATCTTGAGGTAATTCTACTAAATTACTCCATAAATATCAGGCTGGAGATTGGTGAATCACTACATTCCTAGGGACCTGTTTACCAACCAGCAAACAAAGTAAAGGCAAGCTTCTCTGGATGAAGGGAAATCTTTTCTTATAAGTTTTAGCCTTTTCCCCAGAATTACCTCATTTGATTTGGAAGGTTATTTACAGAAGTACAAAGATGATAATTTTGCAAAGATTATTTTATAGGCTTTAGTATTTTCTTTGTTAATGCCCCATACTTTCACAAGAATTATTTTGCTTTTTTTGCAGACCTTGTACATGCTAGGCAAGTGCTCTTCTACTGAGCCACACCCCAGGAAGCCACACCCCTAGTCTCTCATTAGTATTTAGAAAACTAAATATTTTTTAAAGCATCATTCTGTCCCAGTCATACTGAGGAGAACCAGAGCAAAGGCAATGTAGCCATGCTTAAAAGACTGGAATTTTACAAGAAGAAACAAAAAGGGAGGGTGGCCTATCAGAGCAATAGGAGTAAAGTTAAGAACATTTTCTCCACTGGCGATTCCCTTCAGGAGAACTTTTCTGCCCCACAATGAAATGGACTGTATTTAATTTCTATGAGGGAAGTTATCCTCTTGTAGTCATGCTTCTCAAACTCTTAGCATCTATTATTCCCCAAGGTCATTCAAAGGTACAGGATAAACATGGTATCTTTTCTTAAGGAATCAATGTTACTGAATGTCTAAATGGTAAGAAGCTAAAAAATGTCACTGGCAAATTTCAATATTAAAACAAACAGATATATCATGGAATAAAATATAAGCTGCATTAGTTTTAAAGATACAGCATGAGACTAAAGAAATAGTCTTAAATGTGCTTAAAGCTGTGTTGAGTCCTGAACACCCACTCCTCATCTTTCAGTTACTCATATACAGATATCTGAGAAACAATACCTAGAAGATCATATATACATTTTTAAAATTTTTATATGAACAAGTTTTCCAAAAAAGGGAGCAAAATAGTAATTTGTAGATGTAATTATCATTTCCCTTTATTTATTTATCTCTTCAGATGTAAAATATAGAAACTTTTTGTCCAGTTTATTTYATATGAAGACTGTTTATTTTCAGACTCACTCTGTCAAACTAACATGTCGTCAAGGCCTTATAAGGAGCCAAATGCCTTGTATGTACATATGCTATGGGAATAATGGGATATGACTGCATGTAATCTGCATTTTACCTGATCTTCCATTCTCTCTGTGCCTTCTAAGACAATCTTCTGGACATTTTCTTGCCTTTCCTAAGCAAAAGAAAATTTATTTATTAAAACCACTGCATTTGAATACTTATTTTTTCAATATAGATATGTTCTGTGTAATTTACTTTATAGAAAAAAATATTCTCTAGAGGGAACTAAAGGGAGCAAGGCAGGATGAACCCAACAAACCCATGCTTTCATAGACAGTATAAAACAAAATACCCTTTATTCTGCAGTGAAAAAAGAAATATAATTTAGCAGGAAACAATCAAGTTTACACCKGCAGTTTCAAAAAGGAACATGATAAAGCATTTTTAAATGAAACAAAATCAAATTGAATCTGAGGAATACAGAGCTTGTTTATTTTAAATGATTTTCATAAACATATGAGGAATAAGGAGGTGAGTCTACAAAGAGCAAATACCTATTCTTTAAAGGTGCTATTTCTCCTTACAATCTGTTAGAAGTCTTATACAATTAATAATGCCTTAATAAGACTTTCAGGTTAGTATTAAATTGGAAAGTAGGAAGAAAACTTAAATTTGTTCTTTCAAAATGCTAGAAGAATACTGAAATATAAATATGATTATATATTAGAGTACAGGATTTAGTGGGAAATGATAATTCCCTCTAGCTTAACCTGCAAAATTAAAAGGAATATCTATCTCCTAGAAACCGTTTGGTCCAACCTTCTCATTTTATAAATTTGGGAACTTGGCAAGTTAAAGGGACCAAAGGTTCCCAGCAGATAGTTTCTGAAACAAATGTTCTAAACTATTATACCTACACATTGTAGTAAGTACAAGACAAGGTCATGCAATGAAATAAAAATAAAAATGTTTTAGAGTCAAAAGCTCCCAAGACAAATCTAAACTCTAAAAATTTCTTTTTCCTCTAAACTTTAGCTTTTTGTTTGTAATACAGAGTTACCACCTCCTACCTTCCATGATTACTGTGAAGACAAATTCATCTATATCCAATGGGGTAGACATAAACATATGTTGGCTTATGTCAAATGTTAAATGCATATAATTTCCAAAAATTAGATAAATGTGTCTGAAAATAAACTCTGAATGGCTATGTTAGCATGATTAACAAGCTGAGAAACCACTCACCTTATGCATCCATATCCTTCCTTTCCGAATAATATGTGTTAATCTATCAACACACACTCTGTGAAGTGGGAGATAGAAACTAAGCTCCGTCTGTGGAAGTATAATTGATAGTCCATAAGTACTCCGATCTCCATTCCAGTTGCCATCGAAGATTAATGAAACAATAATTACTCCTTTTTCAGATAAGACAAAAAACTTTACATCTATAGCCCCACTCTCTGCATTTCGAAGAATTTCTCCATTTAGGGTGTGGTTGGCAAGAAAAGTTATTTCTCCATCACTGAGAAGTACCTGATCTGTCTTAGGGGCCCAAATATGCCTTACTCTAGGACCAAGAATATTGTCCCAGTAAGCAAAGGTAGCTGCTAATAAAGGTGATTCACCACTTAAAGCAATCTCTGTCTTGGCAACAGCAGGAGATGGTGGTGGGCAGAGAGTAGACATCACTGCATCCCAAATTTCACATTATCCAAATATTCCAGAGATATCTAGATGAGAGCATACAAAGCAATGATTAGGTTCAGCAATTTTAAAGATATCCATCCAAACCCCCAAAGAGACGAATATTATAACTAAAGCTCATACAACAGACCATTGTTCCCCAAATATCTGGACTATGTGCAATTCTACCATGATTAGATATTTGGTTCTTAACCATTATAACTAAAGAGGGGCAAAATAGGAAGGGGAAGTCTCAGCTAGACATGGTGATACTTCTTGTGGGTTGAACTGTGTYCCCCCAAAGATAGGTTCAAACTCTAACCCCTTATATATGTTAATGTGACCTTATTTGGAAATAGGTGTAATTAAGTTAAAATGAGGTCATATTAGATTAGAATGGGTCCTAATTCAGTGGGCTTCTAAGGGGAAAGAGAGAGATTTGGAGACATGTAGACACAAAGGCAAGACAGCCATGTGAAGACCAGAAGATAGAAACTGAATGATGCAACCACAAGCCTGARAATGCCAAGGACTATAAGTAACACCAGAAGTGGAAGGCACAAGGAAGCTTCCCTACAGCCTGTAGGATCATGTTCCTGCTGATACTGGACTTCCAGCTTCCAGAACCCAGAGAGAATGGATGCTATTTTAAGTTATCTAGYTTGTGATGCTTTGTTACCCTAGCCATCTGACAGTAGAAATACCTTAAACCTGCCAAAAAATTTTTTTTTTCATAAGATGACAAAATCACATGTCTGAAGCTACAACAACAAAAATGATTAAAAAGTTTGGTTATCCTTGACAAACTCTCTGGGAAACAGGATACTGAAGCTCACTACTGGTGAGCAGAAAGGTAAAAACACTGACAGGTGAAAACAAAGATAAATACATTTAATACATTAGTAAAGAAAATGGTATAGTACTTTACCATTGTGAAGAGAGTTCAATACTAAGTGGCTAAAATAAATGCTTCAGTTATTAGAATAGGAAAAAACAAACAGAATGGATAAAGCCCGTTCAAAGCTTTCAATCTGCTGAGGAAACAGACATAGAGAACACAAACAAACTTGCAGCCAAGCTAGAATGCAGGGCTCAACTCGTATATCTTGATCCACTCAAAGACATCACTCTGAAAGTGTATATTCTATGTAATATTAGTGTAAACCTAACCAACCTTGCAAGTACTATAATTGAAGACTTATAATCAAAGACTGAAAGTAAAAACCATTAGGACAATTTCATTTAAGCAAGTCTAAAATTATGGATTCTATTATCATAATGTAATGGAGAGCAGCTACAGGTGAATGCTGATACACCTGTTTGATGACTTTGGAGCTAACATTTGATTTATAACAAAATTTGTGTCAAATTAAACCATTTTATATTAAGGAATTTTATCTACATATTGTCAAGAGAGTTCAGAGTCTTATGAAAAGCAGTGACTTCTATTTTTAAAGTTTGTGGTGAATATTTTTATCATACTATGAAAAGGCACACAAACTATGGCAAAACACTTAATGGTGAAGTATGTACGAAAATAGTTAACCAAAAAACAGTATTTACCTATGTATTTTTAATTTCAAGACTTCATTTAGGTAATATTTGTGTTTTAGTATATGTCAATTTAATAAGTCTTAAAAGGCCACAATGGATATGAGCTGTATCGCTTGTTAAAAATATCTACTGTTTTGAATATAACTTCAACAGTCAGTTTACAATGACTGAATACAACAAGGTAATCTGAGTTAGAACTGTTATGATTCTTTTTCTGTCATTATCAACAATAGCAAATGGGAAGTGGAGGCAATAAATTAAAGTAAACACATAGCCATAAAATCATAYTGCAAAACATTTCTTTTTTATTCTTTCTTTTTGGATAAAAAGGTGAAAATCAAAAAGGCAACATTACAACTCAAATTATTATATTGAAATTAAAAGAATTTCCTAAACAGGATTGAGAGCTATAGCAAAATCTGATTGAAATATGAGAAAACCTTTTACCTGATTGTGAGAACTAAATTACTAACAATCACTAATTACATTCAGTCTCACTCCTAGTATTAGAAAGAAAATGAAGGCTAAAAATCATGTTGAACTGCTTAGCTTTAAAAGCTGACAAAAGAAATACAGTAGTTGCCCCTTATCCTTGGGGGATACCTTCCAACTGGATGCCTGAAACTACAGATGGCACCTCTCTMTATATACTGTAAACTCTAATTTATGAATTAGGCACAGTAAGAGATTAACAATAAAATAGAATTGTATAAGTTATGTGAATGTTTTCTCTCTGAAAATATTTCATTGTACTATACTCACCTTCTTCTTCCTATGATAATGGGAGATAATACAATGAATATGTGATAAAGTGGAGTGAATGACATATGTGCTGTGACTCAGCTTTAGGCTACTAATGACCTTCTGATGATACATCAGGAAGAAGACATCCACTTCAGGTGATCCTGGATCATTGAATCATGACAACATTGATGTTAGATGTTAGCAGGAGACTACTTTGATGGTTGAAGATCTACCAAGTTCAAGGGAGTTTTCTGGAAGAAAATTTAATCAGAAGTTGTCTCTAACTCATAGGGTTGCTGCAGAGGTTTTAATATTATGGGTGTTCTATCTGAAGGCAGTATTCCATAATTTTGCCCTTTAATGTCTGTGCAATTTCAAATACTTCAGCAAATTTTAGAAATGTTCAGGTTGCTAGTTCTGTTTCAGTTTCATCTTCCTCTTTCTCTGCAGATTACTAAATAAGTTCTTCTGATTYCTCATTTTTAAAACTTCCCAAAGGCCCTCAATGTTTTTCTACTTCTTCATCCAGCATTTTGGCAAATCCTTCTCCACCAACTTGTCTTACAGCTTCTCCTGTATTTTTTTGTATACTGCAGTAAATGGCTTGGTGCCACATGTTTCAGAAACTTGCTGATGCCTTTGTGTAAGTTCAATGCTTTCTGGTACAATGTGCTGCCGTCACTCAGAACACATTTTCTGTTTATCATATAACCACAAATTGAATGTGTTTTCCATCTTAACTAAGCACTTATCACACAYTGTGGCTGTAACTTTTGTAATTTGAGGCATACCAGCAAGACTAGCATAGTACTTTTTCCTTCTTCACAATTTCACAGAGAAAAGATTCATTTTTATCATAGATCTTAGCAATGTCAACATACAGGGTTTTTTCTTTCCTTATTGAGAACTTTTACCTTTTCACTTAAAGAAAGGAACTTATGTCATTTTCTCTTGCATATCCAAATTGCCAGCATCCTTACTCCTGTGTTTTGGGCCATTWTTAATTAAAATAAGGGTTACTTGAACATAAGCACTGCCATACTGTGACAGCCTACCTGATAACCAAGATGGCTACTAAGTGACTAATGGGCAGGTAGCATTACAGTGTGGATACACTGGACTGTTCAAGGACAGCTGGGTGCAAGAGAGCAGAAAGGTGTAAGACTTCATCAAGCTACTCAGAATGGCATGCAATAGAATTTTTCATGWATTATTTTTTAACTATATTTGAATACATAAACTGAAATCATGGATAAGGTGGGACTACTATAACCTAAGAAATGAAATGTCACAGAGAAGTATAATCAGGAGAGTTGTAAAAATTAATTTAATGCTCAAATCATCTTTGGTAAGAAAAACCCATATGTACAAATGTGGCAAAAAACATTCAGCTGAAAACTAATATTTTTATCTACATATTTTATGTACATGTAGTGTAGGCTACTCCAGGTTATCTAACATTAGTCATATAATCTTTTTAGGGAGGCAAGGATCCAAATTGGGTGAGATGGTGGTTTGCCATTCCTATAAAGAAAGAACAGGGTTCCTGAGGGTTTACCCAATACACTTTCTAAAAACAATCCAATGTGTATGCAGACAAATTATATTAATTAGCATCTATTTAATCTATTAGCATACTGGTAAATTTGAGCTTTTGCTTCTTTAAACTTTTGCTAAAAATCAGCTATATCTTTCCTGAATGGTATTTAGAAAGTTGACTGGTCCACTCCACTGCTGTGAATCAGAATTCTTCTATGATAGGCTCTCATTCCCTATAACAATGTTTTCTGTTTATTTTTCCCAGACCCAAGAGAAGCAGGGTCCTAAACCAGCCCACTTCCAAAACTGGGGCTGCCTATGGCTACTTTAAGGATAGTGAACTGCTTAAAACACTTTCTAAATTTTTAACATCAGGCATTACTCAGAGATGAAGTTCCTAATATCACTATCGAGCCATCTCTCACAGATCAAAGTTTCTCAGATTAACAGGTAAATTAATCTACCACCCCTTGGAAGTACGCAATTAACACTGAACCAATAATAATCTTGAAAGAAAGGAGTCTCCATTTTTTTTTTAAATCTCTTTCTCTGAAAGTAAACTTTAGACTGCTAACATAGCCAAATAGAGATTTTATTAATTTCTCAAGTGGAATGTAATTGTTTCCTGGAGGAGGTAAATACTGGCTTGGTTCTCAATCAAGAATATAGTCTGCAATTTTTCTCACTTTTGTTTCATAAAGAGCACAGTCATACTGGGGCAATTTCCAACAGATTCAGTTTTCTTAAAGTGGCAAGGGCATGGTGGAGGTGCTGGTTAACAGCACTTGTGTAACAGAGGTTTCAGATACCTGTGGTCAAACTTGATCCCAAACTATTAACTAAAAATCCCCCTACCCCCAAATCATAAGTTTTAAATAGYACACCATTCTGAGTAGTGTGATAAAATTCACAGTCTGCTCCAAGGATGTGAATCATACCTCTGTGCTTTGTATTCATATAGATATATTCATCTATATATTCATATACACTACCTGCCCATTAGTCACTCAGTACTCCTCTTGGTTATTATCATAAGACTGTCTAAGTATCAAAGTGCTGGGTTCATGACAACCTTTATTTTACTTAATAAAGTTGAAAGTACAATGATATTTTTAGAGGGAGAGAGAGAGAACATTCATAGAACTTTTATTACAGTATTTAGTTATAATTGTTCTATTTTATTATTAATCTCTTGTGCCCAATTTAAACTGGATCATGTCTGTATGTAAAGGAAAAAACAGTTTATAGTGTTCTATACTATATATAGTTACGATCTGTGGTTTTAGGCTTCACTGGAAACCTTCTTATGTATACACTAAAGATAACTACTCTGTATTTCAAATATCCTGGTTCCATATAGTTTTTTTTTAATTTTTAGTTGTAGATAAACACACAGTATCTTTATTTATTTTTATGTGGTGCTGAGGATTGAACCCAGTGTCTCACACATGCCAGGCAAGTGCTTTGCTGCTGAGCTACAGCCCCAGCCCCCGGTTCCATATAATCAATACCCCATATGTCATAGTCTTGTTTTCCATGATGCTCCCAGGTTATGCTAAAAGTGTCCCAAAGTTTGTTGAAGATCCTAACAGTCCTTTTTTGAACGGTTTGTACAAAGTAAAAGTAGTGCCTAATTGTGTACCCTCGMCTTGCACCACTGGTGATGGACAGGAACAGAATAAACAGAATTTATTCATCTGCGCCTAACAATCTGGGCGTCTGAAAGGGGTAACCCTCCTAGGCCAATGCACGAGACTTCCCACCTTTTCCTGAACACAAGTCCTGGTGGAATTCACCCTGATTAGAAAGACCCTGTGTGGACGCAGACATGTAATCAGTGCACTTCTTTCTGGAACAGATTACCATCAGCCAAGTGATACCTAAGTCACAAGAGTCACTTCCTTTAATAAATGTTTGCAATCTCGGAGCTGTGAAGCAACCAGGCCATGTCTCATAGACTGGGAATACACTCTGCCTAGCACTTCTGCCCACATTTACAAAACAGCACTCCTCACAAACTTCTACTGATAATCTACAGGCGACCAGTAGTCGGTTCACACCCCATCGCACCCGGCGMTGTCTCCTCTCGGCAGGAGCCCTCTCCGGCTCGCCCAGAGGGGCCGCGCGCACTCCGGCTTTCCGCGGGCCAGCCCCTTCGGTGACCAAGGCTCCCTTCCTCGAGCCCGCAGCGGAAGCGCAGCTGGAGGTTGCCCCGGGTCTCGGGAAGAGGCTGGCTCGAGGCCTGCGGGCGAAAAGCCGGGAGAGGCCCGAACCCATCCCAGTCTCCGTGCCACCGCCGCCGGGGGCCGGGATGCAGGCAGTCCTACTACGCTAAAGCTGGAAAGCCCCAGGGCGGCTTTCAGTCCGGGAAGAGAATGAGTCGAGCGCTGGGAGAAAACCAGCGATCGCCTCAGTGCCGACCCGGCAGGCTGACCCCAAACTGCTGGTCTAGGACTTGCCAGCTGTCCACTCACCCACTCGCCGCCGCCAGAACCTCCGCCACCGCCGCGGGCGCAGGGACCGCAACCGCAGCCCCGCCCCCGCCCCCGCCCCGCCCCCGGCCCGCCCCTCGCGCGTCCTACAGCTCTACCGCACCGCCCCACGCCGCAGTTCCTCTTTCGTTCTCTTCTGGTTAATATTTATCAGTTCGTTCCAGGTTCTCTCTTTGCGAATACTAAGAAAGAAAGTGGAGGGCAGGAAGGGTAGGAAAACAAAAACACACGCCACCAGCTCTAGTTAGACCCGCCCCTAGAGAGAAGGAACAGGGCAGCACGCGTGGCTGACGCGCYGACCGCCATCTTTTACGTGGGCGGAACTTGTCCCTGCTTGATGCACGCCTATTTCCTAGTAGGACACCGTAGAACACTCTTTGACGTTTTCAATGTGTGAGTGTCGTTGGCGCSTGGTGAAAGGAGGCGTCGGGGCGGGCCGACTTGCAGGTTCTTTTTCCCAAGACGTGTTGCGTGAAAAATGTTATTGTGGCGTTAACCTAGATAGTTGGTGTGGCAGTAGTAGGGAAATCTGCTGGACTCTGAGAAAGCAGAACAGAGTAAGTGGTTGTCAGGTAGTGGACGTTCAACAAATATTTGATGAATAAGCGCCCCCCCCCGCCCCCGCCGCGCCTTTACCATATGGTTAACTAGAACACGTTTATGACTCCTTGACAAGCACAATATATTAGGGCATTACCCCTCATAGGTCGTCATTGCAATTTTAGCATTTTCTCAAGCATGATTGCCATATTTGTAAACATCATTTTTGCTAACGCACAATGTGAATACTTTTTTTTAACCTTGGAAAAATGCACTTTATGTTTGATATGCTTGGTGATTCTTTTGTTCTGCAAGTGTGCATATACCTCTTTTGMCTTGCAGATGAATAGCACTTAACTTTTTTTTCAACATTAAAAGTCATGCAGTAATGTTTTTTATTCCCAGAAGAGAGAAATACACAAAGTACTTTCCATCCGTCTATACCTTCAGACCCCTTACTTACTGTTACCATTTGTCAAGTTTTCACACTATGTTTTGTATTATGTTCTTCATTCCATAAGGAATTATACCTCATTTATATGGGAAATTGAATGCATAGAAACAGTAGAACCATGATTGGGAAGCCAGAATGGGGCTGGGAAGCTATAGATCAAAGGGTAGGAAGTTTTAGTTATGTCAGATGAGTAAGTCTAGAGACCAAATGTACAACATGATGGATAAATAGTAATATTGTGTTCTGTACTGGAAAATTGCTAGGAAAGTTGGTTTTAGGTACTAGCATGCACAAAGGTAACTATGAGACAATGGGTCATTAATTTTTTGACTGCAATAATCACTATATATGTCTGTTGAAAAATCATATTATGTACTTTAAATATAAACAATAAAAAAGAATTACACTTAGTTTTCCTGACATCTTTGGGCTATAGGTATTATTCCTTGTTTTTCCCTTAGGAGATCATGAGGGGTCAGAGAGAGTAAATTATTTGCTCAAGGCCACCCATTTAATTGATTCTGTACAGCATCCAGCAATTTCAGGGCCCCTGATGTGTTTAGGACATCAGCTCGATACCAGGTCTATTACAGCTTTTCTCAGGTAACACCTGTGGTGATTAATACTAACACCTCTATTTCAGAGTAAGATTGGAACCTTGGATTAAGTGCCTAGGGAAGGAATACAACTCCTAAAATAGTTTTTCCTACTTCAAAATTTTGCCTAGAAACAAAATAATTCCATTGTCTCCAACGGATTTCTGGTTTGTGCAATATCATTCCTAGAACAGTTTCATTACAGAAATAATGAAACACAGAGGCCTAAATTCTGTATAACTCTGAGAAAAAAGATAAATTGTAATACAAAAGTGGTGCACACCTGTAATCCCAGCGCCTGGGAAGGCTGAGGAGCATGTTTTCCAAGTCAGCCTCAGCAAAAGCAAGGTGCTAAGCAACTCGGGTTGAGACCCTGTTTGTAACTAAAATACAATATAGGGCTGGGAATGTGGCTCAGTAGTTGAGTGCCCCTGGTTCATTCCCCTGTGGGCCCCACCCCCACCCCAAAGTAGCTTTGTRTGCATGATGTTTTGTGCTCAATGAATGTGAATCTTTTCCCCCACATCTAAATGAACAATTATTTAGCCTTTGTGTAGCAGTGCAGTAGCTTGTATATTTTCCATTGATGTGAAGCAAAATAATAAAATCAGGAGTGAAACAATAATTATAATTTAGTAAGTTGGTTCATAGTGCTTGTATTGCCTTAAGGTCTAGAATTGGAGGACAAGTATTCTAGCATACATCCCTTCTKCAGAAAACCAAACAGAAAAATGATATTAAGTTTTTAGTAAGGTGATCCATGTTAGCCCACCAAAGAATCGTTTGGAAGGACTTTAATCCGTATCCCCTCCAAACTCTTCATCTTCCCAGAGAAACCACCTCAACTAATTCTACCATCTTATTGAAAATGAGCTTTGCTATATATCCATCTCAGGAATCATAATCCCACATTTTCCAATCAGAATAACGATTTAAAAACCCTATGTAGAAATGTTTGAATTATCCACATAAAATTAGCATTCAATCATAGAAAGTGGCCTCTCTAAGGGAACAGTAAAGCAGATAGAAACAGAGCTGCTGTAAGTATTGTTTCTGCTTTTGATTACTTATGAAACTTGGGGCAGTACTTCTCTGTGACTCAGTTTCTTTAGCCACAAAATGGCATGCGTAATAATTTCTCACAAGGTTATGAAGCTTGTGCAATTAAGCAAGCTAAGAATTTAGAAAAATACATTCAAGAATCGATGACTCTAATCTCAAATTTAGTAACTATCCAGGGATAATAGAAGCAATAACAAATGAGTTATAAGTTTTTTTGAGTTATGTACATATTTATACTTTTCATAAATATTATATCTTAACCCAAAGAACATTCCTGCTGCCTCAGAAGTGCCAGTTGTTTCTCATCCTGTCTATTAATGTGTTTCAGGAATGTAATATCTGCTGCTTTAGAGTTGGAGCTGAGGGTTTGCTGATTAGCTCCCATTTACCAAGATTATAGCAAATTAGATTTAACTGTGATTGGCATGTGAACAATCTGATGTTGGACATGGATGAGGAATATTGCTATATGAACCACGGTGCATTTAGTTTCTTTTAAGTAATAAGATTTTATGTGGTTGCTTAAATCATTGCAGACTTAAAATATGCACTTTATGGTACATTACCTTTTGGTGAAATCTGAGTGAACCAACACACGATATAGGTACATCCAGGTGTAAGCTTGGTTCTTAAATATGGAAAGGTAGTTCCATGAGCCAAGTGTGATGTAATGATTTAGATAGATCTCTTTCTGTCTCTCTGGAGCTAACATAATATAGGCAACACCCCTGCAAGAGAATGTCATTAAGATCCAATTATATTTCTCTTCAGCTCCTCCTGGGACTCACAATTCTATAAACACTAAGCCCATAATCCTCTCAATGAGAGGAATTTCATCATCTACTAGGAATTAGCCTCTGTTCCTTCCACATTGGTGTTCTGTATCTTATGAAAAACAGTTGTGAGTGACATAAGGCCTGAATTAGAGTTCCCGGATAGGGGTGGGTGGCTCATCAGTATACACAAAATGAAAAAAAAAAAAAGATGTGGGAAAATAGAGCACCATCTTCTTAAATCTTAAGAGGAGCTGGGGTTGTGGCTCAGTGGTAGAACCCAGCAAGCTTGAAGCACTGGGTTCAATCCCCAGCACCACATAAAAAACTAAATAAACAAAATAAAGGTATTTTTAAAAAATCTAAAAAGCACTAGTTTATGGAAGAGAAGAGAATTTGAAATGCTCTAATTTCTTTAGAGGTTGAGAGAAGTTGTACTTGATAGGCTGGTGGTCATATGGGATGGACTTTAGATGTGATGAATAGTGCACTCTGATGCTTTTGATGCTGCTCTATATGCCTGAATCTCAGAGGACCTGTTCAGTTGAGCCACAGGGTTCTCAATGGCAAGGACTCCCTTTTTAGCCCTGCATTTTCTAAACCCAGCTCAGAATATCTTCCTGCGCACATCTGCCTCATTTTACCCTTCTAGTTGCAACTCTGTTTGGATTTATGCTTATACTTTATTGTGCTTACTGACATGCTGCTTTGTAAGCAGGTTATTTTCTGTGTAGTGTGCAATAGTTGCCTCTCAACTTTGTCACAGAACCATAGGCTTACAATTTCACCCATTGACTCCTCCTTTAGCATGTGTCAGATGATTAGCAATGCCAGGTGGTTGATTGAAACTTCACTCCAGCTACGCAGGAATGTATTCTTGGCCCAGAGCTCCTGTGATGCAATTGCTTCTTTTTGAAAATAGCTTTTGCTTTTATTTGAGAGTCAGGTCACACTGATTTAAAGTGGGTGAGAAGCTATGGGGGAACTAATATCTCTGTGTAGCCTCTTTGCTAGCGTCCTTKCCCCTACTATTTCAATAAAGAAAAGAAAAAAATCTGATGACGCACATATGTAATTTTAGCTACTGGGGAGACTGAGGCAGGAGCATGGCAAGTTTGAGGTCAGCCTGGGCAACTTAGTGAGACACCATCTGGAAAAATATGGGGGTGTGATGGGGGTGTAGGGGTGGAGATGTAGCTCAGTGGTGGAGTACCCATGTGTTTAATCTCCAATACTAGGGCAGGGGGGAAGAAACTTTAAAAAAGAAAAAAAAATCATAACTAATGTCTCTGGACTAATTTAAGTTATTTAGTTTTCAAGTGTTTTGACATCTGGTAAGTTTTGACATTTACCTTTTTTCTTCATTAAAATTATCTTGACAAACTTGTCTCTTTCTCTTCCATACAGTTGTAAGGTCTGATTGCCTGCAAATTTTTCACAGATAACTTTGTTATAGTCTTATTGGGTTGTGTGAATTTATAGATTCATTTCTCTTCTTTCCATTTATGAGCATGGCATAGCTCTCTACTTACATCGTCTCCTATCATCATTAATTAGGTTTTATAATTTTCTTTTTATATCTTTTGTGAGATTTTCTCCAAGTTATATTTGAA